CTCTCTAAATTTGATGGTCTATGTTCTCAAATTTACTTGCTTCCTTAATGTCAAAGTAAAATTTCTTAAAAAAAAAAAAAAAAAAAAACAAGAAAAAACAAAAAAACCCAACACAATCGCTCTTGGTTGAACTACAGAGAGGAGGATTTGTCCTTGCCTACACGTAGTAGTAGTAGTAGTAGGGAAGGCAAGATTAGGTTCCATTATAAGGGGAGATGAAGACTCTGCACGAAGAAAATTGTCAAGCCTCATGCAAAAACTCTTCAAGGAAACTGAATTTAAGAGGGTGCAATGAAGCCTCAGGCTATAGAAATTCCAAAGGTCTTTCAACACAGAAGGGTCAGGAAACCAATCTGAAAGTGGAGGCACCCGTCAAAAAAAGCAGACAGTTCATCCAGGAAGATCTAGCAGCAGTGTGCTGAGAATTTTCATCACGAGTCCCTGGAATTTCACCATGGGGACCTTCTACAGGTGCAGCCAACCACGCTGTGGCATCTCCCTCCTAGGGGTCTTCAGGGTGATGCAGACAGAGTGGGAGACCATGATAGCTGCCTTTCCATGACTACAGGGACCCTTGCAAATTCTTTTTCACTTGCACCTCAAAGGACAATACTTCATATGTTTGTCCCCTGCTCAACCCAGACAGAGGAAGTTTGATGACCTTGTGGACATGAGCACTATCTGCACAAATAAGGGAAACCAGCTGGCTCTGTTTAGTTAGTTAACACTATTCTGTTCCACATGCAGGAATAAACATCTCCCTCACCAGGGAACTCAACAACAAGAGATGTATCAGGCACTTTCTATACAGTAGACACAGTGGATTCAGCCATGTATTAATTAGCAAGACTACACTTTGGTTACAACCCCCAAGGTTCAGTGATTGAAAACACGAGAAGCTGGCTTCTTTCTCACGTGACAGCCCAGGAGGACGTTCAGGTCCTCCACCACTGTTCAGGGAGCCGGACTGCCAGCTTCCACAGCAACCTCCAAGGTCACCAGGATATCACCATCCCCTTGGGCCTTGTCACCATCTGCAGCAAGTAGCAAAGGGAGAAAGGGGGCAGCATGGAGGAGACACTCTTTTCTCTGGGCCTGAAGGAGACATTCCAGTGGGAAGGGTATGGTCTGTCCTAATTGCCACCGACACTGAGAGAAGCAGGGAGCTAAGAAGCCTTTTCTAGACTTCCTCACCCCCAATCAGTTGGGCTAATCAAACACAAGCGGTCATGGGGGCGGGCAGTACACTCCAGCTTCCCGGTGGAAACCCTCTCCAGGCTGGTTCCTAGGCTCATCCTCCCCCTCTCTGCAGTTCCCAATGCTCCTGCAAGGTGGGGTATATTGCCCTCTCCAAAGTCACCCCTTCACTCACTCAGTCAACATATATTTATTGTTCATATTATATGCCAAGCATGGGGCTAGGTGCTGGGGACACAGTGATACAGAAGTCACACATAACTGATGTCTCCACAGAGCTGACATTTTTGTGTGCTGGAGACACAAGGTAAAAGCCAACCAATCATTCAACACATGATTTCCTAGAGCAATAAGTGTCTTAAAGGAAATAAAACTCAGTCGTGGGAATGAAAGTGTAGGGTCAGAGGGCTGTTTTGGACGGAGAGGTCAGGGAAGCCCTCCCTGAGTCCTAAGAGGAGAGGAGGAACAGTCATCTGGACAGCAAAGAAGGCTTGGGCCCGGCAGCAAATCCCAAAGCCTGAGGCAGGAATGGGCTTGGCAAGTCTGAGGACCAAGGGGAAGACCAGCATGGCCAGTGCCCCATAGGAAGGAGAGTGGCCTGAAATGAGATCAGAGAGGTCAACAGGGCCATATTGCAAAGGGTGAGCCATGGTAAGAGGTCACTGGATCACTCAGCAAGTGTTTATTGAGCCCCAGTGAGCCAAGAGACTGAAGATACTATGGTGAAGACATAAATCCCTGCTTTCGTGGAGCCTGCATGTGCCTGGGAGACACAAAGTCAACAAATGGATGAATAAATAAACAATATCACATCACAATAAATAAACAATAATGGTCAGAGCTCTGAGGGAGGTGAAGCGGGACACGAAAGTAGATTGATGGGGCTGCTACTGCCCACAGGACTGGTGAATCATGGAGGCCCGAAGGAAGTTTCTGAGGGCACAGCATTGCAGAGAGCTCCTAGGATTGCCCGATAAAGCACAGGATGCCCAGTTACATTTGAAATTCAGACAAACAAATTTTGCAGAGGACCTACTTATACTAAAAATGATTCATCGTTTATCTGAAAGTCAACGTTAACTGGGCACCCTGTATTCTTAGTGGCTAAATCTGGTAACCGTAAGAGAGAGGGAACAGAAATTGAGAAGACCCTGGGGTAGGAGCATGCTTGGCATGCTCACAACACAGCATGAAGGCTGCTGTGGGTGGCGAGGCTGAAGAGGGGCAGAGGCCGGAGCACGCAGGGCCCTGGGGTCCACAGCGAGCACTTTGGATTTTCTTCTAAGTGGAACGGAATCCTGGAGGATTTTGAGCAGCTATGTGGACAGAAACAGAAGATCGCTACCTTACTTGTCCCAACTCCAGAAGGTTCAAATGGAGGACGTCGAAGATCAAGGTCATTCCAGGTCCAACTGTTCCGCTGTACTACACCTGCCTCTGTGTAGCCACAGAGATGGGAATGGGGGAGTTTGGGGACCACTCCAGATCGGACCCTCATTCCCTGGTCAGGGATCGGGGTACCCTCTCCTGACTCCCCTTCTCTCATTCTTCTTGAGGTCCCTCCAATCGAAGTGGACCAGAGCATTCATCACAGTGTCCAGGGCTTGGGCCATACTATTTCCTCATGACTATTGCCTACAGAAAAGCGCCATTCCTGCCGCAGCCCCCAGGCCCCCCGGGGCACAGTTCCAGAGCCCACGGGCACAGCCTCCATGCCGCCACCTACCCCGCTGCTTCTTTCCACCCAAAATGGAGCAGAGACCAACCTGGGAGAACTTTGCATTAGACAAATCCCCCTCCTTTTCTCTTGACCTAACAGTTCCCCTGTCAAGGCTACACTGAGAGAGAAAGAAGGGTACGGCTTCTTTGGGTCCGACCACTGTTATTGATTCTCTTCCCTCACATCAGCCATCCTGGGCCTACAGTCTGGGCTCCTGGTGCTCCAGCTGCTGGCTTTAATCAATAGCAAGAGTAAAGACAGGTAGATACTGTTTCCAGGATGCTCCATAAAGCTTCTCACACTGAGCTTGAAAAGGAACATGTTCTGGGATTAATTTGGGACCTGTGACTCTATAAGCATCCAGACTCCAGCTGAGAGGGGACAAGGAAATTGCCAGGACAATGGAGGTCCTTCCCTTAAAGATGTGATGGAAGGAGATTTCCTTATGACTTCTTAAGAAGCTCTAGACCTCAGTTTCCAGTAGCAGCAACCAATTCCAATTTCAGTGATTGAATGATCCTATACAAAGTGTATTGATTCAGGAATTGACATGAGAGTTATAGATCTACCTAGAAGGGATTCTCCAATGATTTGTCTCTGTCCTTGGCTTTGTCCTATAAGCATCTACTTCAACAGCTTGAATAGAAACATGTTGTTTAAGTTTACAGAGGACCCCAAACGCTGATGATTTAGGGGAAAAACCTGAACCAGCTGGGTAAACTTGGGCAATCTGCTTAACCATTCTGAGCTGCATTTTCTGTATCTGCTAAAATGAATAATAAATCCTGCCTCCGGAGATCGTTCTGGGGATTAACTGAGATCCTCTATGCAAAACACCTATCCCAATGTCTGGCACAAAGGACACACTCAGTAAGTAACAATCCCCTTCCCTCAGTTTTGTCATCTGTAAAATGGGGATGCCAAAATTATAAATGTCATTAGAACCTGAAACCCAATTCACTTTGGAAAGAATGACTTAGTTGTTGGATAACTACCACAGGATAAAACAATAGACCGGAATCAAGAAAATGAACATTAATAATCCATGCAATTAAAAACTAATAACAGCACAGAGAATACAAGCTTGATAACAATTCCAATGAAAAAGACCCAAGAGGGCACCTGGGTGGCTCAGTTGGTTAAGCGACTGCCTTCGGCTCAGGTCATGATCCTGGAGTCCCGGGATCGAGTCCCACATCAGGCTCCCTGCTTCTCCCTCTGACTCTCCCCCCTCTTGTGCTCTCTCTCTTTCTCTCTCTCTCAAATAAATAAATAAAATCTTTAAAAAAAAGACCCAAGAGTTTTAATTACCCACAAGCTCAGGTTGAAACCAGAGTGGGACACATTTACCATTATTATTACATAATAATAATTAACATATATTGAACACCTACTATGTCCCAAGTGATACTCTAAGTATCGAGCTTTACCCATTTAATGCCCTCAACAACCCTATGAGCTGTTACTTCTATCACGAGTTTATGGATGACAAAATTCAAGCAGAGGTTAAGGAAATTGTCTGTGGTCACATTAATCTGCTAATAGCAAAGCTGGGACAGAAATAGCAGAGCTGTGCATAGGGCAGACCACATCTGAAGTTGCTGGGTCAGTTCTGAGTACCATGTCACATACAACCACATTGTCCCTACCCTGATGCACCCCAGCCTTCAACTGTTCTATGCCATCAGGTTGGAAGGGGGAGGTTAGGGGTTGCATAGATTAGAATTAAGCCACCGACTCAGGCCAGGCTCTAGAGTCCAAGCCATGACACGAAGATACCCACATTGTTAAGATCATCTCACTTCCTATCAGGCAAGGGGCTTTGTGCCTCGAGGAAGGGCCTTGGGTGCCCTCTTGCCCCTGAACTGTCACATGACTTCCCCCCTCCTCTTCCTCAGCCCATTCAACTGATCCCCATAAGTTAATGCTGTCTGCTATAAAAAATGATGGTGCAGAAGAATGAAGCGAGCAGGATAATTCTTCGAAGTCTCGTAGTTTCTAAAAATTCATGCAAATTTTGTACTCTCCTCCATACGATATCTGGGTTTGTTTTAATGTAAAAATAGTATTTTAAGTGACTTACCACCGAGTAAAACTGATGCTCTAGAGTGATGAACCATGGTTCTCCTGCAGCTTTGCAGAACCCTTGGTGTACGGTTACATGTCCCCAGTTTGAAAAGCTCAGAACTGCAGATGCATATTTCCTAACATGGAAAGTGGTCCAGGGCACATCATTAGGCGATAAAAGTGATAAAAGCAGGTTACCAAACAGAACGTACAGTATGCTCTACTTTTGTATGCCTGTCCGGAAGGCTACGTGTATACCAAAATGCTCACCGAGGTTCTCTCTGGCTGTAGGAATGGGGGCGATTTTTATTTTGCTCTTTTTGCTTCTTAGATCATAGAATTTTTCTACAGCTATCATATGTATTCTTTGTGGGCTTGGAGTATGGGGTTTGGTGGTGGTGGGCTTTTCAGGGAGGGGGGAGGTTAGCTTTGCTTTTTAAGATTTAAGAGTTTGTGGCTGCCTGAATCTTTCAGACACTTGCTCCAGCAGCCTGTGCCTTTCAGCCCCTGAGGTCTTTGCCCTCTGAAGCAGGGGGCCAAGCTGCAAAAACACCATGAACATGAATTTACCCAGGCATCCTCCCTGGCACCCCATCCTGTCGCCCTGTTGACTCTACCAGCTGTGACCTCAAATATCTGGGATGCTCCCATAAACCCCTGTCACCTTTGAGGTTTGCTGTGGGGCAATCCCCAACTCTGCTCAATCATTCAGGGAAAGGTTTCCCAGCCTGCATCCTCCCAACAAGCAGCTCCAGGTGGCACCAAGGTCTTGCCTCTCACCTCTGGTCTTAATGCTGCTATTTCACACGCACCGTGCACCCCCAGGAGGAAAGCCTCCCACATTGGACTGGTCTCCTTCACCCTGCACGCTGCCTGTATCTTGTCACAACTCACTGCTCACTTGGAACCTATGGCTTGACTCCCTTCTTCGCTGGAGGTTGCCCCACTGCAAGCTCAATTTCCCAATCTTTTCTCTCGACCTGGATCTAAGGTCTCAGTCAGGTCCCCTTCCTACGTCACTCATGACGTCATTAACCATAAATCATTATTTGTTGCACAATTATTACGCAGCAAGCATGAGCTAAATATTTTATATCCATTGTCTTTCAATTCTCATAATAATCCTCTAAGGTAGATTTCATCGTCCCCATCTCACAGATAAAGAAACTAAGGCTGATTGAGTGAAGCTTAAGATCACAGTTCTGCTTATTGCTACATAATGAGACACCCCTAAACTTAGTGTCTTCGAACAGTAATTTTATTCTGGGGGTTGACTGGGCTCAGTTGGGTGATACTTGCTTGAGGTCACTCATGAGGCTGCGGTCAGATGGTAGCTAGGGATGGAGTCCTCTCAAGGACTCTTCCCGACATGTACATGTCCAGTGGTCAATGTTGGCTATGGTCTTGGACTTCAACTGGGCTAGCAGCCAAAACACCTGCAAGTGGCCTCTCCACACAGTCCCTCCACTTGGGTCAGTTGGAGCTTCTTCAGAGAAGGACCCCGAATTCTAAAGAGAACAAGATGAAAGCACATGGCATTTTTATGACCTAGCCTTCGAAGCCACACAGTACCACATCTGCCATCTTGTAGCAGTCCCAAAGTTCTGCCCAGTTTCACGGGGAAGGAACATAGACCCCACCACTCAATGGGAAGAGTGTCGTTGTACTGCAAGGAGAAGATGTGGATGGCACAACACCTTTGGAAACTGCAATCTGCCCCAATGACAAAGCTAGGGAAATGGGGCAGAGCCAGTATTCGAACCTGGGGCAGCCTCACTGTTAAGCTCATGCTCTTAAACCATAGCGGTACACTGCCAAGAGAGATTCCTCCCACCTCAAGCTCTGGGTCTGGGACACAGAATACAATACATCATGAAGACATTAACCAACAAGCATATCCAGAAGAGGGAGGCCAAGATGATGAGATGCCCAGAAACAATGTCATATAATTTAACAAATAGTCGAGGCTATTTAGCCTGAAGAGGACAAAACTTAAAAGTGAAATGACAGCTCTCTCAACTACATTAAAGGCAAACATGGGTGAGAGGGAAGACAGATTGTGTATTGCCTCCCCCAGTGATGGAAGAGACAGACAGGCGGATCCAGCCCATGAGAGCAGTTGGGTGCAGGCGACACAGCACTGACCTTGAATGTGAGCAAACCAGGTTTCCCTCCCAGCTACGCCTCTAAGCAAATCACTTCTCCACAGCGGAGCAAGATGGCGGAGGAGTAGGAGACCTGGATTTCGTCTCCTCTCAGGAATTCAGCTGGATAGGGATCAAACCATTCTGAACACCTACGAACTCAACAGGAGATCGAAGAAAAGGGTAGCAACAACTCTCTGAACAGAAAAGCGACCACTTTCTGGAAGGTAGGACATGCGGAGAAGTGAATCCGAGGCGATATTCGGGAGGATAGACGGCGGGGGAGGGGCCTCCATTGGCCGCTTCTGGCAAGTGATAGAGCCGCGGAGCACAAAATCGGAACTTTTAAAAGTCTGCTCCGCCGAGGGACGTCACTCTGGTGGCTAAGCGGGGGGTGGAACCCTCCGGGACAGTGTGGTCTCAGGACCCTCGGGGTCACAGAAGGACCGGGGGTGCCTGAGTGTGGCAGAGTTCCCAGGTATCGGAGCAGGGAAGCCGGCTGCAGAGGCGGAGCCCAGGCGCGGGCTCTCAGCTCGGGGTGCCCATAAACCGTGATCCGCGGCACAGTCGGGCCCCTGCTCCTCCAGCAGGGACCCAACAAGCGGCAGATCCGGGGAGACTCACCTTCCTCCCCGGGGAGGAGCCGCGCGGGAGTGCACCGCAGGGATCTGCTGGGTTTGGAGACTCCAGACCGGGTCGGGTGCCAGAGATAGAGGCGCGCGGTCACGGGCCGGGTGAGCACGGAGTGCGGCCGGAGACCGAGGAGACAGGAGTGACTGACGGCTTTTCTCTGGGGTCTCACTGAGGAGCGGGGCCCCGAGTGCTCGGCTCCTCCGGGGCGGAGATTGGGAGGCCGCCATTTTCACTCTCCGCCTCCAAAGCTGTACGGAAAGCTCGCAGGGAACAAAAGCTCCGGAGAGCAAACCCGAGCAGATTCCTTAGCCGGCAGGGGGCAAGGGCGGGGCAATTCCGCCTCCGGCAGAGACATTTGGAAACCACGGCAACAGGCCCCTCCCCAGAAGATCAGCGAGAACAGCCAGCCAAGACCAAGTTACCGATCAATGAGAACGGCAGAACTCCAGCGCTAGGGGACTACTGCACATAGAATTCATGGCTTTTTTACCATGATTCTTTAGTCTTTCAAGGTTAATTTTTTTTTTAACGGTCTTTTTTTCTTTTTTTTTTTTTAATTTTTCTTTTTCCCTTTTTCAACCAACATCTTATCAATCCCTTTTTTTAAAAAACATTTTTATTTTTCATTTTTAGAGTCATATTCTATTCCTTCATAGTAGTTACCCGTATTTTTGGCATATATATATAAGTTGTTCTCTCTTTAAAATTTTGAGATAGTTTCTTCTAACAGATTAAAATATACCCTAAATCTCTAGTATATGGTTTTTCCTACTCCCCTGCCTGATCACATTCTCTCCCTTTTTTTTTCTTTTTTCTTTTTTTAAATCCTCTTCTTTCTTTTTTCAAACAACTTCTTATCAATGCCTTTTATAAAATTTTTTATAATTTCCATCTTTACAGTCATATTCTATCCCTTCATCATATCAACCCTTATTTTGGTACATATATAAGTTTTTCTTTCTTTAAAATTTTGGGAGGCACTTTCTTCTAAAAGACCAAAATAAACCCCAAATCTAGTGTGTGGCACTGATCTATATACCAGCCTGATCATATTTGATCACATTCTGGGTTTTTTTGTTGTTGTTTTGTTTTGTTTGTTTTTGTTTGTTTTTATCTTTTAGTTTTTCTTTTTTTTCTTTTTCTTTTTTCTCTCTTTCCATTTCTTTTTCCACTGCTTCAGGTCTTTTCTGATTTGTTTAGAGTATATTTTCTGGGGACGTTGTTACTCTGCTAGCATTTTGTTCTCTCATTAATTTATTCTCCTCTGCACAAGATGACAAGACGGAAAAAATCACCTCAACAAAAAGAACAAGAGGTAGTACCGACTGCCAGGGACCTACTCAATATGGACATTAGTATGATGTCAGATCTAGAGTTCAGAATCAACACTTTAAAGATACTAGCTGGGCTTGAAAAAAATATGGAAGTTATTAGAGAAACCCTTTCTGGAGAAGTAAAAGAACTAAAATTTAACCAAGTAGAAATCAAAAAGGCTATTAATGAGGTGCAATCAAAAATGGGGGCACTAACTGCTAGGATAAATGAGGCAGAAGAGAGAATCAGTAATATAGAAGACCAAATGATGGAAAATAAAGAAGCTGAGAAAAAGAGAGATAAACAACTACTGGATCACCAGGGCAGAATTCGAGAGATAAGCGATACCATAAGACGAAACAACATTAGAATAATTGGGATCCCGGGCGCCTGGGTGGCTCAGTTGGTTAAGCGACTGCCTTCAGCTCAGGTCATGATCCCAGGGTCCTGGGATCGAGTCCCGCATCGGGCGCCCTGCTCTGCGGGGAGCCTGCTTCTCCCTCTCCCACTCCCCCTGCTTGTGTTCCCTCTCTCGCTGTGTCTCTCTCTGTCAAATAAATAAATAAAATCTTTAAAAAAAAAAAAAAAAAGAATAATTGGGATCCCAGAAGAAGAAGAAAGAGAGAGAGGGGCAGAAGGTATAATGGAGCAAATTATAGCAGAGAACTTCCCTAATTTGGGGAAGGAAACAGGCATCAAAATCCAGGAAGCACAGAGAACCCCTCTCAAAATCAATAAAAATAGGTCAACACCCCGACATCTAATAGTAAAACTTACGAGTCTCATAGACAAAGAGAAAATCCTGAAAGCAGCTCGGGAGAAGAGATATGTAACCTACAATGGTAGAAACATTAGATTGGCAACAGACCTATCCACAGAGACCTGGCAGGCCAGAAAGGACTGGCAGGATATATTCAGAGCACTAAATGAGAAAAATATGCAGCCAAGAATACTATATCCAGCTAGGCTGTCATTGAAAATTGAAGGAGAGATAAAAAGCTTCCAGGACAAACAAAAACTAAAGGAATTTGCAAACACAAAACCAGCCCTACAAGAAATCTTGAAAGGGGTCCTCTAAGCAAAGAGAGACCCTAAAAGCAACATAGACCAGAAAGGAACACAGACAATATACGGTAACAGTCACCTTACAGGCAATAC